TGTCATTTCACCGAAGTCTCCCTTTTGACATGAATACTTGTGAGAAATCACAAAAGTAAGGTGGTCGCTGGGGAGGTGTATTCTCAAAGCCTCTTGTGGGGGAAAAAAAAAAACAAGCAGTAGAAATAAACTTGTTTGAGTCCATCATGCTGTAGAAACGTGCTCAGTGTTGAGAGCATTGATTCAAACATATTGTTTTTCTCCAGCCACAGATTCAGGCACTTTAGGGTCCTTTCTTATTGCTAAAAAATATCTTTCCTTTTACATAATCCTTGAATAATTCAGGGCTTCACTTCTACATGTTTTGTCCAAAAAAAAGTGAAAAGGAAGCCACCAGGGCCCGAGACTCATTAAAGAATTACACCAGAGACAAGTGCACAACATATTGACTGTAATGAGAGGAGCCATACATCTGAAAATAATTTATCCAAATGTTGGCTCTCAGTAAAACTGAAAGAAGTTTGGACTTTTAATACAGATGGAAATATGATGAATTTAAAACAAAACCGGTCTGACTTTGGGAGATTTTCATACCAATGCTACCAATAATAGTATGTTAAGAGTGTAGCTATCTCAAGTGGGGCTGCGTTGTTTGCTGTGAGTATTTTCCCATAGAGATCCAATATAATTCTATTCAAATTAGAGAGCTGCAAAGTGATTGTCAGTGAGACTACAAATTAACCTGGGACCTAACATTTTCAGGAAACAGTGGAATATATGGTAATACATGGAAATTAAAATGGAAAACCATCTCTTATTGCTACTTTTTTTTAATGAAATGAGCTAAGCTTACACATCTTGTTAGGTTAACATGCGCTGAAAATCTCAATGACTTGATGATACCATGTCTTAAGATTGTTAGCATTTTTTTTAACTGTATTTATAATTTCCTGAGTAAAAGTTTCTGGAAAAAAAACTTTGAGAATAGCGAGTTGAGATTGTCTGAAAAAAATGTATGTATAAAAAACCCAGAAATCATACTTTTCATAGTATTTGAACACTCATACTTTTCAAAGAAGTTAATCAAAAAAATACTATTTTAGTAGCTTTTTGATACAAATATTTTTGCAAAATTTTTTATGACGCTTTCCCAAAGATAAGCTCTAACTGTTTAAAAATAAAGATAACTACAGATATGTATTTGATATGCTGTTCATATGTATCAGGCAGAAACCACAGCTTGTAATAAAGGTGTCCCAGGCTGAAGAAGGATTTACTGCACCACCTTAATGGTATCCAGAGCTGAGGAACACTGCAAGAATTAGGCTTTAAACCTATAAAAGCAATTTCCAAACATAATTGAGAACACGTTTCAATACATATGCATGAAAAAAGGATTTTCCATCCGGCCGCCTCACATAGTCATGTAATTGATTGAGGGGATGACCCGTTGTATTAAATGTTATTTGAGAACCATCAAAACGCGCAAAATTGCAAATTGCCCAGCTTGTATCTGAATTAATACCTCATTCATCATCATTATGAGTTGATAAGTTAATTTAACCATTTCATTCTATCTTAATGAGCTATAGTTGAATTAATGTCATGTAATATATGAAAGTAACATTTGAACAGAGGCAATGATTTGAGACAAACAGAGCAGGGACTGCTTTAGAAGCATAATGGTGGCATAAATCTCTGCAGCCTGCACTTCATGTTGCTCCTTATATTCCTGCTAAACATGACTCTTTTTTTATTTTTTACAGGATTTTTTTAGTGTATATGCTTTTGTGCAGAGATTTGATTGATTTCTGTGTTTGGGTGTAACAGCTGGTATGTCAGTTTAAAAACACAACATCAGATGCAAATGTGGGGACAGTATGTTTTAAGAAAAAGTCTGGGTTGTTTGAGTGTAATCTCATGGCTGCGGGTTAGAATTCACGAACAGAGCAACATGGAGGGATTTAGTTAGAATAATGTCACAAGCAAGTCCTCAGTGAAGACCCCACTGGGCTGCCAGTCCTTCATCTGGCCCCTGAGTGACTGCATGTGACCATTAAGGGCTCTGTGCTGTGTTCTAGTTCCACCTTAAATGCGTTTTGGCCCCGCTTGCTCCCTGTAGTTTGGGTTTTTTTGTCCTCCCGCAGCAGCTGTCACCCTGCATTACTCGCAGTCAGCTAAATGAAACATTATTCTAAACATATGCATCGTAATCAGTCCGGTCACACTTACAAGAACACGCGTTAATAAGGCAATCAATCACTGTGGAACAAGCGAGTTGTTCTGTAACAGCTCATAAACAGTGTGTAATGAAGAATTGGAGGTTAGCATGACACGGCGCTGATCAGATAATCAATGTCAAAGATGCGATGAATGTCAGTAAATGCACTTTTCATGTCGTTTCTATAAAATCCTCAATTTACAACAAGCAGTTCAATTACCCTGAAAATACAGTCAATTAAACGGGGCTGATTGGACAGTAGGGGCAGGATCATCGATCTTTGCATTTCTATCTCGCTGCTGGACATTTAATTTGGTTTTTCTATTAGCACCGAAATAAAGAAAATATAAAATATATTAAACAAGCCCAAAGATTTATTTTCTTGTCAAAAACCATTCGGCGAAGGTGACAGACAGTCCTCTCTGCATTATGATGAATTCTTTTTTCAGTCGTGCACATTGGATACAAAACTAATCGTGTTATTGTGGCCGGTGTTTTTCTGGCCTCTTGTCTTCTCCCTTCTCCACCTCCATCTATCTCAATGCTTTTGTTGTACGGGTTGCAACCCTCGCTTTAGTAAAGAGCAAGGAAACACGGTGATATATCACGCCCATATTTTGCTGCCCTAATCCTATTTCTTTTAATGGGGACGTTCAAAAAAGCAACTTATCTTGGAGTCCCCCGGGGGCGTTCATGGAGGAGGCTGTATTTTAACCAAGCGCAATTAACGACAGTATCAGCTTGTATCATTTAGAGGTAATGTAAAAATAATGGTAAATTATAGGGCCGGAATGACCCGTGATGGCAGACCTCATATTCCCTGTAGCTTTACACGTGATTTTAATTAATATAGGGGAGCCTAACACAGAGAAGGTGTCACAGCACCTAAATACGCATAGCATGTCTTCATTGTCCCAGTTGAATGCTTAAATATTAGATACAGCATATGTCTTTCAATTTATTTTTAAAAATCACGTAATCGTATTTTTCTGCGCAGGTTTGACTGAAAACGCGATTTTTTTTTAATTCTTTTTTTTGCGCCAAATTCTGCGCCAAGAAGCGGAGGTGCGCAATGTTTTTCTTTTTTTTTCTTCTTTTATTTTTCAAGAACAAACACGATCAATAAATAACATGATTTACATTTCATATTGCACATTTTTTTCAAGTTAAAATATTTAAATTCATACAGTCATTGATCATTTAAATACAGAGATATAGAGTTATAACAGAGACCCCCACCCCCAGGGACAAAAAAAAAGGCCAGTCATATTTTCATCCTTTTTAAATTTCAGTGTTCGATTTAGCAGCCCTTAAAAGCCTCCGTAAGAAATGGTCTCCAGCCTCCAAAAATTCAGTGTTAATTTTGCACAAAATACAAATCGTTAATTTGGACTACACTGGCCAGTGTGTAGGCAATGTGATGGTCCTTGTTGGCGTGAACATCCAGTGTTTTTAACATAAAAAAAACATTCAGCAAGTCACACAAAATAAATAATTAAAAAAAAAAGTATTTTAAAAATAGCCTACCATCCACCATTTTATGAAGCCTTTTTTTTCAGGGCAATTGTCAATAATGGATTTTCAACTATCAGTAGGACTATCCCATAATATTTGCAAAATATTCCACGATTTACAGTTCACATGTTTTATAATTAACATATCGGTGATGTCCCAACAGGAACGAATAAAATAGCACATAGCCATTTTTACTTTGTACAGGCGCAGACAGAGTGTGGAGCCAGGCTATTTTGTCTGAGTCCCGTCGGTGTGTGTGAATGTGTGTGTGTGTAGGTGTGTGTGTATGTGCTGAGAGAAAGGGTCCTAAAGGGAATACACACTTATGAAAATACTGCTTTTGATATAATGAGGTCCAGCAATGTAAATAGAAGAGAGGCTGCAGCAGAGTGTGTGTCTATGTGTGTGTGGAGATATCAGCAGGCAGAATATGAAGGGTCTGCTCTAATATTTTTATGTGTCAAATCTTCGCCCTCAGCACGGGTGCATTGTGTGTACCAGCACTGTCGCTTTGTTCCGGCTCTTTTGTATGTCTAATGACTTCCCTCCGCGGGTTGTTAGCACATGACAGCGGGTCTCAAAACGAGCAACTTCCTTCCAGTCGCGTATTCAAAGGAGCTCCATCTAGGTCCATGATTGGCAATTTTTGTCATGATCCTCTCATTATTAACATAAAAATTGACACCAAAAAGACGCGCTGCAGCATCACATGCACCTTTCTGAGCTGATTAGGGGAGTCCCAGAAGAGCAGAGGCTGGGGTGTTGAAGAGGGGAGTCCTGCCAAAATCTCCCTCCATTAGGCCTATAAAACCAAGAAAGATATGCTGCATATCTGTGGAAATAGCATAGACAAACTGCTAGCTAAATTTAGATGGTTTGATTTTACTTGAATTATTCTTTAAAGGCCAAAATGAGTGAAGCTAGCGAGGTTGCATCTGGGTTTCATAAGGTGAATATTCGACGTTTTGGACGCAGAAGAAATATGAAATAGTAGTTTGTATGAAATTTAATGTTAAGGCTACTGAAAATGGGAACAGAATGGACACAACAAGTTGTCAGTCATTTTAAAAAAATGTGTGAGAGTAAATCCAGTAAAGCGCATCAAAACTGCTCCACTGGTACATCACAGGCGTGTAGAAAAAGTTTTCTTTTGTCTCATATATTTATGTCTGATTCATCTGAAAGAGCTTTTTGGACTTTTAGGGAAATAAATCTGAGTTTCTTTAGTGTGTTGGAATTGAAAGTGTGTTTTGAAAGTAGGCCTATCCCCCAAAGTACCACAGAAACAAATCTGATGAGGCTCTCGTGTGTGCTGCATGTCGAGTTATCTGTTGAGTGAACTTTCCTCTCGCTGGTCTGGTGATGGGACTGAGGTCTTGCTGAGAACAGCGGCAGAGTAGGGCAGAAATCCACTCTCGGATCTTTGCCCTGAAGCTGTGCAGGTAAAGTCAGCGCTCGCGCTCCTGGAGCCGAGCGCGCTCGCGGCCTGGCTGCTGTGGCAGCTCAGACACGAGCAAGGCCCGGTGGCTGACGGCGCGCTGACCGCCGCCGCCGCTGCCGCAGCCGCCGCTGCCGCTGACGCTGCTGCGGAACTGTTGAGGCCTGCGGGTGACTGGTAGAGTCCCGGGTGCCTGAAGCTGCACAGGAGCTCGGGCCGTGAGTAAGGATGGGAGAGTGCCCGGAAAGTGTCGAGGGGCCGGATGGAGGTGGCGAAAGGTGACGAGGCTGCACCGGTGGCTGCCGCGGCGGCCGCTGCTGCAGTGACACCGACGTGAGGGTAGTAATGTAGAGGCATGTGCGAGTGGAAAGGGTAAGGTAGGCTTCCTGTAGCTGCCGCGTGCGTCATCATGTAGGTGTAGAAGCTTGGGTCGGCTGGATGAGGCCAGGACATCGCCAAACGCTGCCGTTTGTCCTTCATCCGCCTGTTCTGGAACCACACCTGAACACAGAGACAACAACAAGGGCCATACTGAAACTGCCATGTTGTTTTCAAGCTCTGGATTTAGACACACTGAGCCCTGCACCGAGCCAACAACAACAACAATAATAATAATAGCTTTAAAAATATGGCATGCAGCGTGCGTGAAAATAAACACAAACATAAAGCTTCATCCTTTTTTTCTTTTGCATTTTGTTTTGATGCAAATAATTAAAAACGTGTGAAATGACTGCTTCACACAAACGCAGCAGAATTTAAATTAAAAAGCATAATGCACAGGTCAGTGTAAACACAAAATGTGCAGAGAGGATGCTGTAAATAAAGATATTTTTTACTGCAAGTTAGCCCAGTATAATAACCTATTTTTCTCATTTGCACAATCACAAACACATCGACACACACAGTGGACCTTCAGCAATAATGAAGATTAATCTCTTACCTTAATGGTCGTTTCGGGCAGATTTAGTGCTGCTGCTAATTCACATCTTCTCGGCCTGGAAACGTAATTTTCCCTGTAAAACTCCTTTTCCAGTCTTCCGATCTGTTCTCGCGTGAAAGCTGTCCGGTATCTCCTCACTTGGTCCGAATTGGAATTGTTTGATCCTCCCGATGAATTACCGTTCATATTGGCGAGGGAGTTCGAGCCGGACGAGCCGGAATTACTGTCTGAAAAACCTATAATAAATCATCCAATCAGTTAAAACGAAAAAATAAAATAAAATATTCTAATATCAGATAATGTTAAAATAATAAAGTCTATCAGAGTGTGAGGCTAAAACTGATTTTATTTTGAAAAAAAAAAGAAAATGGTTGAGCTAATATGTTTCAAATAAATGAACAGGTTATTATTTGTAGTATTTTACATCATTTACTGTTAAAAATAACATAAAACAGCAGACCAATCACAAAAATAACAAACATGATAACAAAATAAAAGCCTTACAGTAATAATTATTATTATAGGTAGGTTTATTTTGCTTCCTTACGTAAATAATAATGGCCTTAAATAAAAATAGCTCCAGGCCTAATAGTCCTTTAGCCACATAAGAAACTTAAACTCGTAACTGTGTAAAAAGCTGCATTAGTACCTTTGTTGTTCTCCTTGTGCTGGCTCGGGGAACGGTGCGCAGGGCATCCCACCTCCACATCACTGTTAATATCTGAATCTGGAGAAACTTCAGAATAAAGGCTCATTTTCTTCCGGCTTTCCGACGACGAGATCTCCGCCGATGAGCTGTTTTCGCTGTTGTGGTGCGTGCCGAAAAGACTCTCAATCTCGAATTTGCTTTTCGTCGGGATGTCCCCGAGATTCCCATGTAGCTGAGCCGAAGTTATTCTCGGGCTGAGCCGTCCGCTGTGCTGCGAGTTCTCCAGGGCCTCCAGCACTGAGTTTCCCGGCGTGCTGTCTGCGAGCCTCTTCCCTGCGACCGGACTGTGCAGCCCCCTCTCCATCAATATCATCTCTTTTCTTATCCTCTCCATCATTAAGCAGGACGGGGGGAAGAAAAAAAAAAAGAGAACACAACAACCCCACAACACTTGTCCAAAAGGGGGGCCGGCTGGAGCACCAATGAGTTGTGTCGGAGCTAAATCCGCATGCAAACTGTCTCTAAAATAAGTGTCTGTAAAGCTTTTTATAAGCAACACGCACAAAATGAAAGAATGTGAATGCAATCGACGAGCGACTGCTCAAAGTGAAGCGTGCATCCTCCCCACGGCTGCTCAAATGTCATTCATCAAAAAGTGGATGCTGCTGTTCGTGGTTAAAATGCTCGGCTGACGTCGCTCCAATGATCATTTATTGTAACAGGTTTATAAGCAAATAAATAGGAGAGGGCTGTCACTTGATGATGGAGGCGGCCTTCGGTCAGACGAATAATATCCAAGTGGAGAGGAAGAGGAGTGAGGAGGAGAGCTGCGTGTCCCTGGCTTGATCTCTCAGTCTGTTTCACATTGCTCTTGGGTTTGGCCTCTTGGGTGAAATTGACAGTCTGATTAATAAAATGAGCGGCGCAACATTTCCCTCTTCATTTAGGAATATTATTATGCTTTGATTCTCTATTGTTTCCCTGCTCTCTGTTCGCCCTCCCCCTCTCTAATCCCCCTGCTTTTATGTTTCCCCCTAATTTCTTTATATTTCACACATTTTCTGACTCTTAATCAGTGCGTAAAGTGCGTAAGGTTTTACGCGCCAGTTTGTAAGAGGAGATTAGGAGGGTGTTTTTATCTGGTTTTAAGATAATGTTGATAACATTTTCGTGTTTTTCTTCTACGTTTGTTGAATTATTTAATCCTTTGCATGGGCATTCTGATGTAGTGATAAAACATGCACAATAACGCATGACACATTTATTCATGTATTTGGAAGAAGCCTACTTTTATGTTCAGATAAGCTACTTTAAACACTACTTAGGGGTGACTGTGAGATTTATCTCCATTGATTCTAAGATAGATAGTCTCTTTTGTGTTTTTTTTTTTCGTTTCAGCCAATTCCACACACTTTTTTTGTCCTTCAGATTTCTTTAAAAATTAAATATTGAAACGAATTTCTGAGATTCCAGATCTGTAATATACTTAAGAATATTTGTTTTTTTAATACTCTGACTCTCTTATCAGTTTTCAAATAATTTCCAATTTCTTTCCCTCATTATAACATGTTTTTACCTCCATCGTCTATGAGTGTTAATTGTAAAATAACGTGCATATGTATATGCATCATGTGAACTCTAACATAGACTGGATGTGTAAAGACGTAACACCCGTGCACGGACTCTCGCTTTCACGATGTGAAATAACTGGAAAGACTCAATCAGATGATCCTCTGCGCGTCCTCTGGCGCCTCCTGCAGGTTTTAACATTAATAACCTTTCACTGATGTGTGGTGTTGAATAGGAGGTGTGGGCTGTGATGAACCTTATGACCTGACTTGTGACTGTCAGGAGCAGTGTGGAGTCATTCTTCAATGTATAGGTAGAAAATACAAATATTTGATTAGATCAGGCAATAAAACGATGTCTTAAAGGAGTTTTTATTGAACCAGGGGACTTGACTCTCCTTGTCTTATGTCTGTGTTCCTGTTGAACATTATAGCAGGATCAAAATCTGTCCAACCAGGGGTCATTGGCCTCATGAAAGGCTGTTGTCGTAGATTCTCTCTTTTCTCTATTACAAATACAATAATACTTTTTTAATGCCCCTGTCAATCATGGACCCCTAAAATCATCTCAGTTTTTCTCCCATTGTACAATATGTAAAATAATACTTTGGCTCTCGTAGCTATTCCTTAAAACATGTTCATGTTTTTATCGAGTTGTAAATTAATGGACTTCTCTCTGTCGTCTAAGCTTCCACCGTCCGGTGTTTTATATCAGCTTTAACAGCTTGTCTACAGTGTCGTCTCACAAGATTTTTATTCAGGATTGGTGCTTTGAGGTTGGGCCAAAGTTTCCACTGAACTTTGCAGATTAAAGCTTGCAAGTCATATACATGGAAGTTAAAAGCAGTCAGACTTTTGACACTTTAACTTGCAATTATATAAATGTTGCAGAGTTGGCAAAACTAACCCAAACTTGCTGTCGTTCGAATAATAAAAGTAAAGAAAAAGTCCTACAATCCCAAGTCTGAATGAGTTGGTTCTCAGTTAGAGTTAGCTCACATTAAATTGAAATTATTGCAAAGACAAATTTCTCGAATGTTGACTCTGGAAATTATCGTTTATTGAAAGCTCTGTGCTCACAGGGACAAAGGTGAATGCACTATTGTGTTGCAGCACCTCTTCTTTAAACTGGAAGTATTTGGGAACTAAAAAGACCAGTTTCTGGAGTTTTGAAGTAAAATGTTGTCCCAGCGTTGCCTGATTTTTGGATTTGAGCTGCTCAACAGTTCAAGGTCTCCTTTGTCCTAATTTTTTGTTCCATGATGCCCCAAATGTTTTCAAGAGATGACAAGTCTGGACTTTGGGTTAGCCATTTAACTCCCAGACTCTTCTGCAACTGAGCAATCTTATTGTAAAATGTACAAAATGTAGTTTTGCAGCTTTGTCTACATAAGGTCCTCCCTAAAATAGATGTGTTTTTTTTATGACACCACACAGAATACTGTTTGAAAACTTGTTGGTAATGTTCATCATAGATTGTGTCTTCCATGATGTGTACACCAGCCATGCCATGGGCACTTATGCCCTTCAGGGATGCCGGCTTTTGACCTGTGATAACAAGTTGGTTGGTGCTTCTTCTCTGTAGAGTGAAGGGAACACAATATCCGAGTTTTCTTACAAGATTCATAATATCTGAGAAGAAAGTGGAAATTTAGATTTGTTAGTCCACAGGAAAGTTTTCCACCCTCTTTCCAGGTGTAAAATGAGCTTGGGCCCAGAGAGGACTTGTTTCTGGATCAAGTTGATACACGGTTTCCTCTTTGTATGGTACAACTGATGCCACACCAAGCTGTTGTTATGGGTGTGATTTTGAGGCCATGCAGTGATTTCCACTGCAGAGTCCTGTCTGTTTTAGAGGGCTGAAAGGGCAAAGTCAGTCATAATTGGTCTTGTCCATTTAGTGCAGAGATTTTTCCAGTTCATCTCAACCTTTTATCGTGAAAATCACGGTTTTTGCAATTAGCTCAGGATCATTATTCTGAAATCGCTGAGCTGCTTCCTCATGTAGCCTCTCACACAGTGATGATGAACCTCTTTTAATCTTCATGTTTGAGAGACTTTCACTCAATACCTTTTTGTAACTAGTCACATGACTAACCTGTTAAGAATTAATGAAATTAATCAGGAGATTTTCATCCGGGGTTTTTTTTTTTTTTAGCATTACACTCATGTTTTGTTGTCCCCATCTCAACTGTCTCAAAATGTTTGGCTGGCATCAAACTTGAAATGAATCATTTTCACAAGACAGTCAATATTATCAGTTTCAACATTTGATTGGTTGACTTTGTGCTATATTTATTAAATATTGTCTATCATTGAAAAGTAAACCATCAAATTCTGTTTATGTGTTTTTTACATTTTCACAGTGTGTTAACTCTCATGGAATTAGAGTTGTAAATAAAAAGCCTCATGGAAGTGAAAGTCACAGTCAAAGGAAATTAAGACACTAAATGAGTCAGCTAACATCACATTAGACAACAATAGATAACATATTGGGTATCAGTCTAATAGCAGTATGTTGCACTTGCAGAGCTGTAGTCACAGTTAGAAATAAGGCAAAGTTTATTGTAAATATTCAGAAAGATACAAAGATTTTTGAGAGCAGGTTATCTTGAGCACAAAAGTGAATAACTTACACATCAGATTTATTATCTTGTTTACAAGCTCCATCCATTATCTTTACTGCTTAGGATGTTGAACCCATCCCACCTGTCTTTAGGTGAGAATCAGAGTACACTTTGGACAGTTCAGCAGTCTGTCACAGTGCTGTCATATATCTCCTGTAAGTGATCTTGTACACACAAGTTAATATTTTGTGCTTTTAAAATGGAAAATGAAACCCAAAAGTAACTTAAAGGGCTTTTGTTGAAAAAGAGAGAGTAAAACAAAAATTACATTACACAAAACACGAGACATTTCATGGATGTTAACTAATTGATCAGACGTAAGTTACATTTTATGTTACTTGATAATAAAATAAGACGGGTGAGGCTTTAAAGGAACAAGTTAGCAGCATTATCAGGATCAACTTTATCAGATATGGTGACTGTCAACTAAACAAACACACTAGTTTCAGTGCACAGCCTCTTCTTTATTTATTCTGTTAACTAGAGTTCTACCACACTGGGAAAAAAAGCTTGAAAGAAAGTTCAGTTTGCTGCTGAAGGTGTTATAGGTCCTGTTTGGACTTGATTTAATCCAAACAAACTCTCGGTTTACTCAGTCATACATGTCATAATCTTACTGCAGCTGTTCATATCACTGAGCTTTCAAATCATGAATTTATCATTTTTTCTAGCATGGGAAAGAATCTTCTTTGAAAATGAGCGGATCAGACCTTTATCATAAAACGTAGGTTTGGAGTAATCACAGGCGTCTACATGTTTCTGTTAAATTGGTGAGATGCAGCATCTAGTGGCCATGAGAGAGACTGCAACACACAGCACTGAGGTGTATGGAGCCATGGAGGCTGTTGTTAAAGGAGTGTCACAGTATGATCCCAGCTCAGACCAGAACTCTGAAGTTTAATCCAATGACAGAAGTCAGAAAAATCTTCTTCTGGTGCTTATAATTAAACACAGTCATGTTTGATGAATGTATTAGAGGGGGGCATTTTGGATTTGGTTTAGGGGAGGTGATATATGTTGGAGTATTTAACAGGTAAAAACAGTGACACAATATGCGAAAGTAGAGCTTTAATAAACCGCATATGCAGATGATGTATCACCTTCAGCCAGAACAGAGGCTTAGATTAAAAAAAAAGGCTTTTACTTGTTGACTGTGAATGCTTTTGAAGCCTGTGTTCATTTTGTGGATCTTTCTGTCT